GCCCGCCCCTCTCGCCAAGGCGGCCAGAGACGCTCTCCGCTCGTCAAGGGTCACTCGGGGCCACGACGCGGCTTCTACAAGGACCAGCAAATCCAGGTAGGACTTTCAAAGAACCTTTATTTCACCATTTCTTCAGCAGTTATGTACAAGTACAATGGGCGGACGACCGGACCCGAAAGCCCTCCTGGACCCCTAAAATACGACTCAGATGATCAAGACAGGTGCCGCCCGCACATCAACCCAATTAGTTACACACACCCTGCCGCTCAGCCTCTACCCAGAAGCCCCGACAAAAACGTTTTAAATAATGAACAGCCTGGTTGGCCTGCAATCTGACTCCTGGCTTATTAATTAGCATCCGAGAGTTATACTGTAAATAAACATCATCATTATGTTAAAGTAATTTATTATAAACACCAACCAGGTTAAATAATACTATTTTATTATCCTTCCTTCCTTTGGGCTGGGGTGAGATTCTTCTTGAAATCATTTTCATGAATATATCTTTTAGTGTTTTTGGTAACGTCTTTCTTCATCAATCGTATCCAAGACTCTTCTGTAAACACCACCAACCAGGTTAAATAATACTATTTTACTATCCTTCCCCAGCTTGGCGCTGGGGTGAGATTCTTCTTGAAGTCATTTTCATGAATATATCTTTTAGTGTTTTTTGGTAACAATTGTATCCAAGACCCATTTCTGTAAACAAAGTGAGGACCTGCACCCCTGGAAGCAAGCTCTTCTCCACTCATCCTGGAGTTAAACCAAAACTTTTTCAGTGTTTGCCTCCATTCAAGTTTTGCAAACCAGACTCCTCTTTCTGTTCTAGACTCTCTAGGGCTAGGTACCCTTGAATAGATTTCAAACATCCAAGAAGTCATCAGGATTTCCTATGCCTCATGCACACTCATTACCCACCACTGAACCTGGCCGAGATTAACACAGGAGCCTGCCTTTCACTTTTTACAGTTCTATCCCCTACCCCAACTCTACTGCAAATAAGATTTGCCCTGACATAAGAAAAAAAGTAACTGTTAAATTTACCTTCCCTTTAACAGAAGAATTTTTTTCCTTCCTCTATAGGATTAGCAAAATATTTTACACTACCTAATTTTTTCCCCCTTAAATAAAAGAAAACTATGCAAAATTACTATTATAAACACTGCTCAAAAGGTGCTGGTGGTTTAATTAGCACGCTCCCCTCTCCTTTCACTGAAGTGCAGAGACCCAGAAAGTAGATATTCTTAAATTCATCAGTGGGCTAAACAGTGTCAATTGTTAAGTCTCGCAGGAAATGACTTTCTCCTTGAGAAAGGAAGAGTAACTAACATTCCTATCATGCTCTGGGTATTATTTTAATACCACATTGCTATGAGGCTTGGGGTAGGGTAGAGAAATTATGAGTACTTCTTGAAAACAACTTTCAGGGTTTCTTTTAAGAACTGACAATTAACATATAACCCCATAAAAACATCCACATTAACCAAGAAAAATACTCAACTTCAATACAAGCAAAAAGAAAAATGGTATAGGAAGTTCAAGTTATACTCTTCAACGCACTAAAATGGAGAAAGGAGTTTTATCCAAATCAACTGAAAGGCTCTCTTACTACTATTCAGTCAATGTCTAAAGCAAAAATTTACGTTTTGGTCTTTGATTTGCTCCAAAAAATACTGTAATACTGGTATTGTCTTGACAATTCAATGATGGGCTCTATACATATTCATTAGATTAAAAAATAAGCAAGGGCTTCTGCCCCACACCCCAATGACAGTAAAAATCATCTCTGAGCAGCAGGCAAAGTTATTTAATATATGGTGACTCCTCAATAGCGGTGGCTGTACCAGTCGTTGTTGTTGACCTGAAGAAGTTCTGTCACAACCTGCAGGATGTTGTAATTGTGTTTCTTCAGCAGCCTCAGGTTCAGCTGCCTGTCACAGAATCCCATTTCAAAGAGATGGGCCATCAGGGCTGCTGTCTGATCTTCAGAAACTATTGGCTGTGCAGAGTCAAAAAATCAGAACAACATCTGTAATACTTTCAACAATAAAGATAAATTAAAAAGAAAGAAAATGTTTAGGAAAAGCAGACCATTTCCTGTATAATTTACAGGTTTATCTTGTCATACTATTTATTAAAAATATTAGGTAGATGCAAGGGCATGGCACTCCTATCCACCTGATCCTAATAGGGCATCTGAGGGGGAAGAATGGGGAAGGCCCTTTTTGGGATTAGGTATGGCTTGTACCCCAAATCTGGCAACTAATGAATTGTCCTTAGAACTAGGAGGAGAATGCTTCAGAGGGGACTTTCAGAAGGAAGTATTCTTTGGCCAGATGAAGGAAAAGATGCAAACTCTGAAAGCTCTATGAAAATAAAGGTAATCTTGAGGATGGGACAAGTATAAGCAAGAGATGACTAGTATGGGAAATTTAGTCAGATATATGCAAAAGAGCTGGATAAAAAAATTGCTTGGAAAATTACATCCTAGATGACCTTCTGGGTTCCTTTTTTCTTTTTTTTAAAGAATAGAAGTGATCCAGGTAAGAGGGGGCTAACATTCATTTACTCCTTCTTTGAGCCAAATTCTGTGGTGGACATAACCTTCTTAAATCCTCCTAACACTTAGAATACCCTGACTCTTACCATTTATTTACTGTGTGGAGTATCAATTCCCTCATTTATGAAAATGGAGTTAAAGAATACTTCCGATTTTGTAGGGATGAGAAGATTAAGATGAGAAGGTGTGTAAATATGTTGAGCGCAGTCTCTGCCATGTCCCTCTACACCTAACTCCACTGTTCCCTTCCTCCCTCTTATTTCAGGATAAATTATCCATCCTCCTGGCCAAGTTAATCTTTTCACGTGTACTTTTCTTTGTATCTCATTAACATTACCTCAGAAATCTTTTTTCTATGAACTATCCTCTCTCATCTTGACTGTTAATCTCTTTTGCTACTGGCTAGCCCGCCTTTAAAAATGTTTCCCTCTGATTTATGTATTCTAGCTTTCAGTCTCTTTTCCCCTTTGTAGTACAGCTTTTTAAAGTGAGGCATTTTTGTACTGTAGAAGTCCTTTCCACCTGTTTACATTTTTCTGCAGCATCTGATGCTGCTGGCCATGTCCTCTTCATTAAAACTCCTTTGTTAAGTTCCAGTACAGAACTCTTGCATTTGCCTCTGACTTCCCAGTCTTCTTTGAAGGGGCCCTCCATTCCATGATCCTTAAAGGCTCCTTCTTGCTTTCCCCATTCTTCCCGAAAAATCTGATCCAATCATATCTCCTTCTATAACCTGTATACAAATGACTTTACCTCCAGGCCAAATCTCTCCCATAACCCAGATGTCCATACCCAACTGCACTCTGGATAACTTTACCTGGATGTGCCTCGAGTTCAGCACTACCCTAACTGACCCAATTTTCTTCTCCTCCTGCCCAAATATATTCTTCCTGCATATCGTCTCTTAATGAATGGTACTATTGATTGTTTAAGCCAGAAACTTGGGATTTATCCTTGACGTCTAGTTGTTTAATCAGTTGTCAAGTTCTGCCATTTCTATCTATTTCTCTTCTACCTTTCTTTACCACTTACACATGGATTCTCAAATGGATTTCCCAGCTCCACCAGCTTCCACACTAGAGTGATCTTACTATGAACAAATCTGATGTTAATTACTTCCCTAAAACCCTCCAATAGCTCCTCCCACTAGTGTTAAACTCCAAACCACTTAACACAGCATCCTGCTTGCATAGCAAAGGTCTTTTATTTTTCTCAGCCTTCCAGACTCATACTTCCAAATCTTTTTACTGGCTACTCTGTCTACAGTGCCCTCCCTATTTCTTTCCTGGCACTTATTCTGCCCTTTAGATCTTAGTTCAGGCATCACCGACCAGGAAGTCTTCCCGTGCCCTACCCAGGGGCCCACACTGGGCTGAGGTGCTCCATCTGTCAAGAACACTGACAAAGTAGCTTACACTCTACTATAAATTTCTGTTTACCTCACTTGTTTCCCACTATGGGCAGGACTGGGGTCTTATTCACCTGGTGGCACTGGCACTTGGAAGAGCTCCCCACACATAGTAGTTCCTCAACAAACATTAGGTGTTTTCCCCTTCTTCCCTTAAGAAACTTGGCCAAAGTTATACAGCTAGAAAGTGGTGCAACTGTGTGTTAATCAAAGACTAAACCTAAAGCTTATGCTTCCTACAATGTCATGCTACTCTCCAACCCAGACAGATGCCAGTTTTCATTGATGACTTGGATTTGACTCAGGAAAATAAAACATGCACTG